CCACGCCTCGCGCCGGCGGCGTCGGGTCCCCAGCCGCGGGGGGAAGACGCGCACGCTCAGGGCAAACCCTGGGGGCGGCCGAGGTCGAAAGCACGTGGCGTTCACAGCGGGGACCCCGGCGGCGGGGCCCCGACCGCTTGGGCCACACTCGGCTCCCGCGGCCCCCCGCCTGGAGCAGCGGGCGAAGGAATGTGTTTGGCGAGGTTCGAATTGGAATGGGCAAATTTTAAGTTACATTTTATTGTTTTCCAAATTAATTAATATGTGAGGTTTTTTAGAAGTGACACAAAAGTTTTTGTAATGACAAAAGTAATCCCCTGTACCTTTTCCCCTGTTCTCCAGAGGCAATTACTTTCAACTCTTTTTATTCATTTGAATTATATCGTACATACAGTAAAACGCACAGATCTGCTGTGTAAAATTCGCCAAGTTTTGACAAATGTATACAACCGTATTAACCATCACCCCCAACAAGATACAGGACATTGATGTCGCCCCTGAATGTTTCTTTGTGCACACTTTCCAGTCAATAAACAATTTTTTGTTGTAAAATACACATCACATAAACTATTACACATCGGTCATTTTAAACTGTACAATGCAGTGGCATTTAGTACATTTACAGTGCACAAGGGTCACTACTTTCATCACCCCTAAAGGAAGCCACCTACCTGCTCACTGAACAGCCACTCCCATTCTCCCCTTCCTGCACCCGGTGGCAGCCACTAATCTGCTTTCTGTCTCTAGATTTGCTTTTTCTGGGTGTTTCATATAAATGGAACCATGCACTGTGGCCTTTCCTGCCTGGCTTCTGTTGTGTTTTCAAGGTTTATCCATGTAGCATATGTCAGTATTTCATTCCTTTTTGTGGCTGAATAATATTCCATTGTATGGATACGTCATATTTTGTTTATTCATCAGTTGATGGAGATGGACTTTTGGGTGGTTTCCACCTTTTGTCTAGTACTGCTTTGAACATTTATGTACAGCCCCTAGCGCCCTGGTGGGGGATTGAACCTGCAAACTTTTTGGTGTACTGGACAATTCTCCACCCAACAGGGCCGGAGATTGAGCCTGCAACCACGGTACTGCCCTTGGCTGGAATCAAACCCGGGACCCTTCAGTCATCCAGCCAACACTCTAACCACTGAGCCAAACCGGCTAGCGCCGTTTAACCATTTTTATGTTTACAATTCAGTGGCATTAATTATATTTACAGTGTTGTGCAACCATCACCACTATCAATTTTCAAAATGTTTTCATCACAGTGAAAGAAAACCCAGAACCCATTAAGCAGTCACTTTCCATTCTCCTCTTCGGAAGCCCCTGGTAGTTTTTCATTTTTCTGTCTGTATGAATTTGCCTGTCCTACTACCTCATATAAGTGGAATCATGCAATATTTGTCCTTTTGTGTCTGGCTTCTTTCACTTAACATAGTGTTTTCAAGATTTATCCATGTTGTGGCATGAATCAGCACTTCATCCCTTTTTTTAAAAATTGTGGCAATATGTAACATAAAAGTTGCCATTTTAACGATTTTTAAGTATACAGTTCAGTGGCATTAAGTACATTCATATTGTTGTGCAACCATTACGACTAGACTATGCGACTCCAGAACTTTTTCATCTTCACAAATTGAATCAATAGACTTTTAACTCTTAGCCATTTCTTCTGGAGCTTTCATTTAAAAAAATACACTTTTTCTGCTATTTCTATTTTTTTTTAAATATCTTTTTTGCTTTCAGAGAGAGGAAGGGAGAGGGAGAGAGATAGAAACATCAATGATGAGAGAGTCATTGATTGCCTCCTGCAACGCCCCCAACCGGGGATGGAGCCGGAAACCCAGGCATGTTCCCTGACCAGGAATCGAACCTCGATCTCCTGGATCATAGGTGAATGCTCAACCGCTGAGCCATACCAGCCGGGCTCTGCTATTTCCTAATATCCTTATTTATAGGTATCTTGCTATGATATTTGCTTAGTTTCTAGCCCCATTCCCCTCACCTCTTTTCTCAGCATACTTAATGCAGTAAATTATTGTAAGTAATATTTCCTGTACATTCTATGATTATATTTCCTTTCTTGTCATCTTTTGTGGTTTTTAAAAATTGAAATATATTTGACATATAACTAAATTTAAGGTGTACTTCTTGATTTGGTACATGTATATATTGTGCTATAATTGCCATTATCACTTTGCTTTTCTTGAATTTTCTAATTGTCTTTCTTTTTTCCTTGCATTATTTGCCCTTTCTGCTTCTGGAACTTGTTCCAAAGGATAGCATCAAATCTCAAATCCCCATTTTTTTCCTGGGAAACCTTCCTCCTGGAGCCCTCCATCCTTTCTCTCCAAACAGGGATCAGCCTCAGCCGTTACGCAGGGTCTTCCCTTCCTGCTCTCCCGGGTTGTATCTTATGTTTCCTAGACTCAACATCTTCCTATATTTTAGTCGAGATGGTTCATCTTTTTTTTTAAAAAAAATATATCTTTATTGATTTTAGAGACAGAAAGGGAGAGGGAGAGAGAGATAGAAACATCAATGATGAGAGAGTCATTGATCGAGTCCGCAACCCAGGCATGTGCCCTGACCAGGAATCGAACCCCGATCGCCTGGATCCTAGGTCGATGCTCAACCGCTGAGCCACGCCCGGCCGGGCGAGATGGTTCATCTTAATGGATTGTGGCACTGGACCATAGGTTCTAGATGTCTTCATCCTCATGTCTGGAATATTCTGTCAGTGAGTCAGGATACCAGACAGTATTTGTTCAGCACGGGGCTGGTCACTGGAGATAACAAGACCTATGAGGTCTCCATTGGCAGCAGCCCACAGTCTGGTCTTGGAACCAGCTCTTGCTTGGCTCTCCAGCACATGCTGGGTCTCCCCTTTGTGTTCAGGAATGATCTTTGCTGATCCAGCTAGTGCCTTTTCGGTCTTTGTATTTTCTGGCCCTACCCTTGCTGTTATTTACCTGGAATACGTTCTGGTTAAAGTGAGACTTCTGCTGATTTCGCTTCTACAATCATATGCTTATTTTATGACTTTAACTTTGCGTTCTGGAGGCACCTCACTGCACTTGAGAATAGTATGGAAATGGAGTAAGGAAAAGTATATCCGCAGAAATGAGTCTGCTTTTAAACAGGAGGGTCAACTTTACCTAAAGAGATACTATAAAGCATTTCCCTGGGGCCAAAAAATACTTCTGTTTACTCCGGTACTGTGTTGTAAATTGATTCTCTTTGCACTAGGGATGGAAAAGACTTTGGAAGAAGGAGCTAAACAGTCAGATTGAAACAGACTTTCAAGACTAAAACTGTTCCTTCATAAGTGGCTGACGTCATGTGGTGTGTGTTTTTCCTGCCAGTCATTCTAAAAATACAGAGATGCTCTCACTTTCAAATTGTTTTATTGCCCACCAAATTGTAAATATTTGTTCAAGAAGCTTGATCAGATAGTAATGAGAAGTTGTAAAATACACAGGAGATAATTGTGGTTCACAAATTTTGCTTGTCAATAACCGGGTGCATCTAAACTTTAAGGGAGAGCTAAAGTTTCTTGCATAAAAAGCTCAGCCTTACTTTGAATTATTTAGGGGTGAAGTGTAATGTCTGCAACTTACTATGAAATACATTAAGATGGATAAATGAATGGATAGAGGGATAGATGGACTTGTTATGATAAAAAATACAGCAAAGTTAAATCTAGGTTAATTGCAGAATCTAAGTGATGGACTTAAGTGTTTACCATACAATTCTTTCAACTTTTTTGAACCTTTGAAAACTTTTATAATAAAATGTTGAGAACAGCTCTACTATTTGTTCTTCAAACTATAAAGACATGTCAGGTGCCTTCACATTTTATCTCAGACAATCCTGCGAAGGTGACATTAGCCCCATTTTACAAGTGAGACAACTAAGGTACAGAAAT